TCTACTCCTTTGGGGTAGGGGTAAGGTCTGCGTACACACTACCCTCCCCAGACCCCATTAGTAAGATTCTACTGGGTTGTTGTTGTTGTTGTTGTTGAATCAAAGTTGCATGGTCTAGTATTGCATAGTGAATGCTAATTTCCTTTGTCAAAAATACCAAAAGACTGCGAAAATGATGCATTTCTTAATTAGTACAAATGTCACATGTAGCACATAATTCAAAGATAGTGTTAATTCATCGTATTAATTAGAAGGCAAAGGCTAAAAAGATTGATGTGTGCAATACTAAATAGATAAATTGCATGTTATAACCTATTATAGATTTCTTTTCTTTTTTAGTTTAATTTGTTAGACTGTGATTTTTTTTGTTAAGTGACTTTCTCGATTTTTTCTTCCGAATTAAATGGTTAGTTTGCGATTTTATTTGATGTTAGGTTTATAAGAGGGCCGGGTTGGATTTAGCTTTCTCATTAGTTAGCTTTTGATTTTCTTCAAATTTAGATTTTTGGATTCTTTCTTTTTTGGTGTTCTTAATGGTTGGATTGTGATTTTTTATGGATTTTGAATTTTGTGTTATTTTTCTTTTCCTTGGTTTTTCTCTCTCAAGTAGTTAGCTTTTGATTTACTTGAAATTTTAGTTAGCTTTTGATTTACTTGAAATTTGGATTCTTTGGTTACTATATAATTATATCTGGTCAAAAGAGGATACCAAGTTGCTTTGATATTTTGTTACACATTCTCTACCTTTCTTTTAAATGGTATACAAGATTAAAATATTTTTTAAAATTCTAATAACCTTTATTGTATATTTACCTTTTAACTTAAATATATCAAATTTATATTCCATTCTTAAAAATGAAAGAGCATAATCCGGATTGCCATCTTTTATGACAAATATGTTTTCTAGACAAAACAGTATAAAAATATTAATATTTTAGGAAATCAGATAAAAATGTGAACAAATAATTTTCAGTAATTAATGGTGCTGCAAGTTAAAATATTGTTGCATAGTTCAGTGGGTGTGATGGAGATGGTGGCAAACCGTTATGTTGAACACTTTTTTAGGATTATTTCAATTGAAATAATAATTACTCAATTTCTAGTTTTCAAATAAAATTTATGTGCAAATACAATTTTAACTTCCAATTATATTTTTTTTTTGACCAATGAGAATATCGAACTCAGCCTGAAAAATCAGTAATTTCAAAAATACCTCTTTGTGAGGCAGGCATGTTGAGGGAGAGCTCCTTGCTTTCCCTCTTATTAGATAGTAGTAAAGTAAAGTAATATATAGTAGTAAAGTAAAGTAATGCTTTACACCTTCTTTATTCGAAAGTACCTTCTCTTTTTGTTACTATGCAAGACTTTACTCCTCCACTTCATTTTTACTTATCAAATATGCATTTTAAAATATTAATTAAGGGTTTATTTTACTACTCACCCTTATTTATGTGAATTACTATGTTTTGGAAATCCAAATTTTACTACTAGTACTCCAATAAATTTGAGAAATTATTAATTACTCCCTCTGATTCACTTTAATTATCTTTTTGGCCTTTTTCTTATAGTCCATGATATTATTTGAAAGAAACTAACTTCTTTATTCCAAACTTGTCATTGGAATTGAGAGCCTAGGAGTATTTGTTATATTTTTAATAAATAAATTAAGGTTAATATGATAAATGTCATTATTAATTAATGCAAAAAATTGAAATCCTTAATATGTGTAAAAACAATCAAAAGATCAATTAAAATGGACCGGAGTAAGTATTGATATGGGTAAAAAAATTTAAAAAGATAATTCTCTCTTAATTTGCCAAATTGATAACATAGAAAATATTTCTTTGTATATTGAACAGGGAAAAAGTAACGGAGGGAGCATTAAATACAAGAAAACAAATGAAGTAAGGGGGACCAAAAATAAAAAAGGTGCAGCAAGCTTAATTAATTCATCCTAGAGGAAAATGAGTTGGGCATTCTTTGTATTACATAAATAAATGTAGCTGTCGTACCAACATATGGCTCTGCACATGAACCAAATAGTGTCATGTTTTATAGTTGGCAGTTGGAAGTATGTACAAGGAATGTCTATAAATCTGCTGCAGTACCCCTTACCCCAACCTCTGTGCAAAAAGAATATTAGTTGAAGTTTGACAATGGGATTTGTTTTACGCCAAAATGTCTAAATATATCCTTGTACTTTCGAAAATGGTCTAAGAATATATTTTGTTATACTATTGAGTTATCTATACCCCTTCAGTCATACTTTGGGTTCAAATATACCCCTCATTTAAACGGAGGGACACGTGTCATCGTCTTGTTGGCCAATTCTAAATATCTCCTAAGTAATTAAAAAGTAATTTTCTAAAGCAATTTTTTTTTTTTGTAAAAACTAGAAAAAACTGATTTTTTTTACTAAAAAATGAAAAAAACGAAAAAAAAAAAATTCTTCAGTTTTTACAAAAAAACTGCTTTAAAAAAAACTGAAAAATATTTTCTAAAACAATATTTTTGTAAAAATTGGAAAAAAAAAACTGAAAAATATTTTCTAAAACAATATTTTTGTAAAAATTGGAAAAAAAAAACTGAAAAGCAAATTTCTAAAGCAATTAAAAACTGAATTTTTTTCCAGTTTTTACAAAAACATTGCTTAAGAAAATTTCTTTTCAGTTTTTTTTAAAATTATTTTTTACAAAATAAATTGCTTTAGAAATTATTTTTCAGTTTTTTTTAAAGCAATATTTTTCTAAAATTTGGAAAAAAATATTTTCATTTTTTTTCAGTTTTTAGTTTAAAAAAATCAATTTTTTTCCAGTTTTTACAAAAAAAATTGCTTTAGAAATTTATATTTTAATTAATTAGGAGATATTTAGAATTGGCCAACAAGACGATGATTCGTGTCCCTCCGTTTAAATGAGAGGTATATTTGAACCCAAAGTATGACTGTAGGGGTATAGATAACCCAATAGTATAACGAGGGGTATTCTTAGACCATTTTCGAAAGTACATTAGTATATTTGGCCCTTTCCGTCTGTTTTATGATAAGGAAAAGACTAAAATAAGCCTAGCTAAAGTGCATGAGACTAAAATATGAAGGGTATCTTAACATTGGATCTTAACAAGGACATGAGACTGCTACCTTGATATTAAGCTTGATACTACTGTTTGGTATTATGTTTAGCATAATTACGCAATGTAGAACTTACACTAAATGGTGCTGAAGAATAAAACAATGCCATTTTATTAAAAAGTAATGTTAACCAGTACAAGATTGACCCTGTAGAAAATTGGGTTTTGAAAAGAACTAAAAATCCCCAGGAATGGTTCATTTACAATGAGGGATACTACACATGATCAGGAGGCTAATGACTGGATTTTTGTACTTGACTAACAACATTTAAGAATGTACATTGACATGTTTTATCGTCCTTGAGACAACGATGCACTAAACTCATTAACAGAACATTTGTCATTATCTTTTGCTGAACAGGCAAGATCCAAATATGTTTCAAACTTAAATGTGGGTTGTTTAGGAGTTGAGCATTTCATTTCACTGTTTAGCATGAGAATTATGGCTGCCATGGTAGGACGATCCCTAGGACATTCTTGAACACAGAGAAGACCAACATGTAAGCATCGCGTTATCTCTTCTGGAGAAAATGAGTTGATTAATGTGCCATCCATGAAGTCTAATCCGCTTTCTTCACTCCACAATTTCCATGCCTGCAATATTTGCACATACTATCATGAGGTTCAATACATAAAAATGAGTGAAGTTGATCAAATAGTAAGACAGCATGTGTACTAACATAATTGAGGAGGTTAAGATTCTCTTCCACGTAATGGAAACTTGAATTCTTCTTGCCACTTATGATTTCTAATAGCAAGACTCCGAAGCTGAAGACATCAGATTTCTCAGAGAATACCCCCCTCAAAGCATATTCAGGAGACATGTATCCACTGCAAACATTAGTACTTTCAAAAGTAAATCAAAAGAACAGATATTTTTATGATGCAAATTTGGATTGTACAGGTAGCAGGAGAGGCTACCAATAATTTTTACTTCTTGATTACATGTTCATTGGAGGTTCTGAACTCTTATCAATTGAGAAGTACAGCAATATGGTCGCTTACTATGTTCCAGCTACTCGGTGAGTATGCACAAGCTGCTGCTGCTTCTGAAACGTTCTTGCTAAACCAAAGTCTGAAATTTTTGGATTCATCTCTTCATCCAAAAGGATATTGCTTACTTTCAGATCCCGGTGTATAATGTTCAGACAGGAATCTCGATGTAGATATAGTAGCCCCCTAGCAACACCTTGAATGATGTTGAACCGTTTAGGCCAATCTAGCAATTCTTTCTGTGATGTATCTGATCATTAAATGTACAAAGAGTTAAACAAGTATCACCTATAAGATCCCCTTGGACATGTTAAACATGATGGAAACTTATTTTCTAATTGACTCTACGAGATGGAGAAAAGAACTAGAAGAGAGAAAACAAGAGCAGCCATACCAAAGAGAAATTTATCCAAGCTTCTGTTTGGCATGTACTCATAAATTATAAGAAGTTCTTCCCCTTCAATGCAGCATCCCAGGAGTCGTACAAGATTCCTGTGCTGGAGTTTTGATATTAATACGATTTCATTTTTGAACTCCTCTATGCCTTGCCCTGTTCGATTAGAAAGTCTTTTCACTGCTATTTCTTGTCCACCTTTTAGCTTTCCCTATGCAGGGTCAGCCCATTAAAAGTCAAATGATCAGAAAACTTACTTTACAAACCCCTCCAGCTCCCTCAAAAGAAAAAAAATAAAGGGGTAAAAGAAGTTGGACAATACATAATTTCAGTAATAAAATCCCTTGTAGTGCAAGTTCCGCGATGGACTTTTGTGTATTTGACCACAATATTAGGTTTAGTGCTTGAGGAAAAGTGTAGTTACCTTGAAAACAGGGCCAAATCCTCCTTCCCCAAGTTTGTTGTCTACTTTGAAGTTGTTTGTTGCAGCTGCAATTAGCTCAAATTCAATCAGTGGAAGCTCAATCGGATCTTCTTTCTTTAAATTGCCAACCCAGAAACTTTCCAGTGCGTATTCTTTTGAAATGTTGCATGAATCACCTATACGAAAGCTTATGGTTCCTTTTCCTTTTTGTCCTGTTAAAGGAAGCAAAAAATTAAAGATCAGGCTAGACGTTCATTGCATAGCTGTTTCAACAAAACCATCAAGGTTGTTTCATTTGTCAAAAGCATTTTTTTCTTCTTCACTTTGGGAGTACATATATCATTACCTGTTTGATAAATCTTATTCTTGAGCAAACAATATAAAGCAATCCCCAAAAAGAGACTGGACAATACTGCAGCACATATGAATAGTGCTCTTTTAAGCTTCCGCTTACCTGAAAAAACTGAACAACATTTCAATAAGCTACTGCAGTAGATGAAATTACATCATAAAAAGTTAGTTTAAAACAAATAAATGTAGTAGTTACCTAACTCTGAGTAAGCAAGCCGAAGGAAAAGATCTTCCCCAGAATATGAGTAATCCTGCATATCTAAAAGATCTCCAGACCATACCATACACCTAATTCCTGCCACATAAGCATAAGCAGTGCAAGAGCAATTGTTCAAACACAGCCTTTCACATTCACTAGCACTGTCGAGGCGAAAAATAGCAGCAAGATCAGGCAGTTTCAGCCCACTAAACTTCAAAAAACCATCCTGCTGTCCAACCCCTGGAGACGTGCCATTTCCCTTTCGCTGACATAGTAATTTAGTTTGCCTCACACAACCACCTGTCCAGTTCCCTCTGCTCCACTCGTCACTAGACCGTGGCACAAACCCTCTTAAGCAGCTGCAAGTTGGATATTTGTTCTTGCTGCAGATTGCTGAAGGTCCACAAGTGTTATATATATCACATGGTGGATGCACCATCTTAGCATAGACTTCCCAAGCTGGAGCCCCATCGGTCCACTGAACAACTTGAACAAACCCGGTTGACTGAAGTTCCACGAAAGTTAGAAATGAAGTATTTGGAAGAAAGGTGAAGTATGCAGTTCCCTGTTGAAAATCTTGCTGAAAGACAAACTGAACTATATAGGCTGCTGAATCAATATAGGGAAGACCAATGAACTTCAGTCCATTCCACTCCCCAGTTCTGTAGTAGGGAGTAGATTTGTTCCATATGAAAAACTGAGAAGGAAGTTGATCCGAGATTCCAATAGAAAAATTTCCCGGTGAGGGGTCACTTTCCTTTTGCCAAGAAGATAAGAGCCATCTCTCCCCAGTTATCCTGTTGAACCCTATTTTCATTCCAGGCAAGAAAGTATCACAAGGATAATCGAAACTCTCAAAGAAGCATTGTCCTGAGATATTATCTTTAAGCACCAAATTCCCACTGTCCAGGAGAACAACTTCAACTGTGTTATTAGTGGGGACATACACATTGCTTGACCAGATAACATTCTGTACACCATCAAGAATCACCAAGTTTCCATTTTTGCTAATCGATAGACTTGCAGCGGAATCAGAAACATTAAGTGGACTTTCCCTGTTTGCAACCCACACAACTTTACGAGGCGGGATATTCTTAAACCATATCCCCAGGTACCTTTTACTGGAATTGGCAGGACTAAAGAATCCCAATTCAAAAACCTGACTAGCAGAGGTTAAAGTATCCCCTACTAAGAGCTTTTGTGATTGCAGAATGGCGTCTGAGGCATTGCAATAATATGATTGAATGATACAGTACGAAAGAAGAGAGATCAAAAGTATTTTCCAAGCTTGACAGAATCCCATTTTCTTAAATGATAGACTTCTATAATAACAAACATCAAGGGACACTTAAAAGAGAGAGTCATAGGTCAATTATCAAATACCAAAAATAGGGACTCGAAACAAGAACGAACATAGCTGGAATTCGCCAAGTAATTCAAACATGGAGACTGATATTATTATATAAAAAAAGAAGTATCAAGTTTATCAGGATGTCCAAAAAACTATTCAGAACATTTTGGACTGTGATTGGTTTTCTATCCCCCTTAGATAAAAATGAGCATTTGAAGTCAAATTTAAACTTTTCCCTGTATTTAGCCATAAGCATATGGTAAGAGGGCGAGGGACTATAAGGGGAAAAACTTGGGATAGAGGTCACTATAACTTGTCTTACTTTGTCCTGAGCTTATTTTGGACTTGAGAATAAAGTCCACATCTGGGAATAAAGATGTTATCTTTAAAACGGCAACTTAAAAAGAAAAAAAAGAAAAGAAAAAAGGGTGACCCATATAGCTCATCTAGTCCCCAAAACACCAATTCTAGAATATAGAACCCTCTGCCAGTTTTAAAAAAAAAAAACATAGCCGGGTTAGGGTTTGAAAATCAACCAATTTTAATTTGTTTATTTTTGGAATATAAAAGTATAATTATCTTTTTTGATAAAAGTAATTACTCATATATATATATATGTAAAATAAATTATATACTCATTTGTAAAAGTTGTTTGACGCTGTAAGTAATAATACAGTCATTTTTAGGAAAATTATTGATTTTGATCAATCAAACCAAAACCAAGACGTGACAAATTGCTAAGAGTAGTGCATAAAACAAACCCCATTTACCAATGTAGAGCAATTGAGTCATATTCTGCTGGGGAAGAGGAAAATTGAGCAGTAAGATGAAATGGGTTCTCTGAATTTTAGGGAAAGATTGTGGTGAAGTTAGGGTTTTGCTGTTTTGAACAAAGCTGAAGTGCAGAAGCCTTGGCCGCCACATTATTTGAAGCAGTTGAGCCTCTTTCCCACGCTTTGCCTAAGATCATGTTAAATTGGTTATTACTCTTCTCATACAGTAATTCTCAACTCTGCCTTTGACATGCTTGAATTACCTGGAGTAATTGGTCTAATTGTAAGAGCACAACACATGATGTATGAAATAAGTGGAGACGAGCGTTACGTGGAGAAGGGCAGAGGGACATGCTCATTTCCACCGAGTATCAAACCGTGTGGAGTGTACAATTGGCGGATTTCTCGGTTATCAAAAATAATTTTTGGCCAAGCTGAGACAAGGCTTTGATTTATGGATAGTTATTGGGATTGAGTTAAGGTACCATTTGCAGCACATATCTGAACATCAGAAACAGAAAAATGCATATCTCCCATTTTGGATATGCTATTTTCTGTTATTTCTTGTTCATTTTAGCCAACCTAATAACAATCAGAGCTGTGCTCCAGGAGTTCAAAAAAAAGCTCCAGTGTTTCTCAGGTATGTCCTCCAATTAATTTCTTTTCCTCAGAGGAGGTGACAAAATGTATTTCCTTAGAATTGTATAGTTTAACAATATCTTTTTGTTTGATGTATCATAAAAAAGGCTAATGTTAGTGCTTATTTATTGTTCTAGGAGCATAAGTTGTTTGGAATCTACAAGTGAAAAGCTTGGAAGATCACCAGTATACTTAATTTAGAATCTACAATCCATTACTAATTTAGAATATTGGAAATCTACATTTCCATATTATTTTCCTTTTCTTTGGGATATAGGGAAGTGAATTACTAGATGAGGAATCAAACTCCGACCTACACGGTGAAGGTTTGAGCCGCCGACCGAGTGAGCTACCTTGATTCCCCATCTCCATATTTAATTTGATGGTGAAGTTTGAATTTGGCAAAGTTCACCTTTGCATAGCTCTACAAGAAAGTTATAAGGTAAAATAGGTTATTCCATTTGATATAAGAAAATAAGTTTATGAACACCCATAGAGTTGAAGATTTCTTCCATATTTGAGTTTCATAAAACTACTAATGATCCACAACCATAAAAAAATTAACAATAATTAATCAAATAAATAAATACCATTTCCCCTTCTGTTTCAAGCTATGTTGCGCTGACTCTCCAAAATGTACCCGCACCCGTGTCGGATCCTTAAAAAATGCACTACTTTTGGAGGATCCGACACGTATCCGGCCACATTTTCGAAGAGTCCGAGCAACATAGGTTTCAAGTGGAGCACAAGCCAATCTGCCTACATATAGTTCCATTTCTGCAGAATCTGGTAATAACTATTGCTTTTCTAACAAGAATTAACATTACTTCTCAGGCTTTAGAAAAACTGCAATATGGTTTCTTGAAATGAAAGAACTGGCCAAAATCTGTTTCAGAATGAAAACAATTCTGCAATACACGTAAACTTAAATGATTAAGGAAGTTAAACACACGATCCGTGGTTGCTCTAGACAAATGATAGGAGAAGAAAGCATGTAATTCTGCTTCTTAAATATTAAGGATATTTGTTTGTAGACTGATGGAAATACTTCATTCTGAGTAACTTGGTAGGAAAACTGAGACTTGCTCAATTATAGAGCACCTCCACCTCTAACAGTAGGTTGTGAGTTCGATTCATGAGGAGATAGGGTAAGGAATTACCGCTAATCTCCTTCCGCAGTTGGGGGCGGGGGAGGGGGAGAAAAAAGAGTAACTGGGGAGCATATTCAAAATTCAAGAACATATATACTGATTGAACATATCTATCTCTCTTTCAGCTTAAAGTGCTGAACCATCTACTGTACACAGTCTACTAAAGTATACCTAGCTAACACAAAATTATGAACATATTTCCAAGTATAACTTGAAAAAAGTTACATTACTTGATCCTATTCTCTTCAAATGAAGCAGATATGTAAGAAAGATCAAGCATTAAACAATCATCTACCTATTAGTACACTGATTGTGACATTGTTTGAGGATGGCAAATCCTGATTCCCATGCCACATATCTGCATCAACAGATCTTCTCATTGAGGTATAAGTGGGTTGCCTAGGCAAGGGCAATCTCATATTGTCAGTTTCCAACATCAAAACTACAGAAGACATGTTTGGCCTGTGAACAGCCAAGTCCTGAACACAAAGCATTGCCAAGTGTATACATCTCAATGCTTCATCATGCTGACATCCATCCCATATTGAACGATCTACTAGGTCCATTGGTCTACCTTCGTCCCATTTCTCCCATGCCTGAAATATTTTCCACCAGAAAAATATGAGAAAGATGACCACTCTGTCATTGCTCAATTACACAAGAAAATTAGCCCCATTATTCGGACAGCATGTTCTGGACTAAAAATATTGAAATAGTGAAGAAAATTATTCAGGCTTACATATCCAATAATGCCTGAATGCTCATCCGACCGAAAGCTTGTATTTCTACGCCCAGATATAATCTCAAGCAATAGTATTCCGAAGCTGTAGACATCAGACTTGCCAGAGAACAGGCCTTCCATTGCATACTCAGGAGCCATATATCCACTGTGTTTAGCAACGAGGTATGAGATGAAATGGATTTAGCTCCAGGAACAAGAAAATGGAAATTAGAGTCTCTTAAAAGACTTAAAATAAAATGATACTTACTATGTGCCTACAACTCTGTTTGTATTTGCTTCATTTTGGTTTCCTCCAAATATTCTGGCCATGCCAAAGTCTGAAATTTTTGGGTTCATCTCTTCATCCAACAAAATGTTACTAGCCTTTAGATCCCTATGGATTATCCTAAGTCTTGAATCTCTATGGAGATATAGTAGCCCTCGAGCAATCCCTTCGATAATGCTGAAGCGTTTTCTCCAGTCTAACTGGGATTTCCTAGCAGGATCTGCCAAAGTTTAACAGCCATTATAATTGTTAGTGATCTATCTCAATGAGATGTGTTGCTATAGTAAATATAAGGAAGCATAAGCAATTTTTTTGATAGAATTTCCTGAACTTACCAAATAGAAATGTATCTAAGCTTTTGTTGGGCATGTACTCATAAAGCAGAATTTTTTCTTCTCCTTCAATGCAGCAACCCAAAAGCCTGACAAGATTTCTGTGTTGTAATTTTGCTATTAGAGTGATCTCATTCTTGAATTCCTCATCACCTTGTCCGGACTTTTGTGAAAGCCTCTTTACAGCAACTTCCTGACCACAAGGTAGCCTTCCCTAAAGATTTAAAAAACATTATCTTTAGTCCAAAACAAGGCCGTATACTTCCTAAATGAAAAAGAATAATCCATTAAGACTGAAAAATTACCTTGAAAACGGGGCCAAATCCCCCTTGCCCAAGCTTGTTTGCAAGAGAAAAATCGTCAGTAGCTTTGGCCACCATGCTGAAGCTGAAAAATGCTAATTCTGAACCATTTCCTTGATGCCCTTCGACACTGAGGTCGCCCGGCCCAGATAAGTCTGCGGAGAACTCTCCGCTCCTAACTAGATGGTTTTTGGGAATTTCATTGATCCTCTTGGATTCTGAAAATTGGAAGTCGAAGTTATAAGTACAACATGGAACACATATCAAATGCAGCTAGCCAAGTCAGGAAGATTGCTGCATCAAAATTTACCTCGTTTTCTGGCCCTGTATCTACATACTAGCCAAACAGCTGCCATAACAACCAAAGCTAGAGCTACTAGAACTGATATTATAATAATTATGATCGTCCTGTTTTTCTTACCTGTTTCAAGAGATATTCAAAGGAGAAAATCAAGAATTAGAAAGGCTAATCGTTCTTCAAACTCTCAAACTCGAGGAAGGAAAAGAAGTATCTGCTTAAAATGCTGATCTTGCTACTAATGAAAACAAACAAGAAATGAGTCTTTGTACTAAAAAACAATTACTTTGGATTTAAATTTGTATAATTGCACAAACAAAATATTCTGCTTACCAACTTCAGAAGGATCAAGGCGAACATACAGAGTGTTCCCACCTTCCTCAAACTGCTCTATATCAACTAAATCTTCAGTCCATATCATGCAATTGATTCCTTTGACAAAAGCATAAGCATTACAGGAACAATTGCTCAGGCACTTGGTTTTGCACGCGTCTGTGTTTTGTGCATCTGCAATAATATCTGCATAATCAGGCAATTTAACTCTCTGAACAGCCACGAATCCATCATCTTTTGCACTATCATTCCTCTGAACAATGCTACTTTTCCTGCATTCCAATTCTGTCCTCCTAATACATCCTCCTGTCCGGTTCCCAGCATGCCATTGCTCCTCAACACGTGGTACAAATCCTTTTACACAAAGGCATACTTGTTCATGACATTCCGCAAAATTCCCACAAAAGTTATATAGGTCACAACCACCCGATGGCCTAGATTGTAACGTGCTCCATTGCTCCTTGTCTTCATCCCATCTCTGTTGCAGCTCATTTCCAGTCACAGTAATCTGGAACCTCACAAAAAAAGATGTGTCCGAAGCAGTGTAAGTGAAGTACGACGTATCATCCTCGTTGTTAATTTTGAAACCAGAAAATAATGTAGATCTAGTCACATTAGGAACACCAGAGAATTCCACTCCATCAAAATGTCCACTTCTCCAGCGTCTATTCGGTCCATCCCAGATAACAATTTGAGGTGCTCCACGAGGATCAACCCCCAATGAGTATCTTCCAGGTGAAGGATCACTCTCATTTGTCCAACTACTGAAAACTTTACGCTCTTTACCTTGTCTTTCCATGAAAACTTTCATCTCTGGTAAAAAGGTGTCTGTAGGATGTAAGAAGCTTTGCCACAATTCCTTATTTAACCTCGCAGCATTCCTGTCATAGTTAAGGATGACAAGATTGCCATTGTCCAACAGACAAGCCGTAGAGTTTTTGGTCGCGATAGTAACATTACTCCACCACAGTGAATCTCCATGTCCATTTTTAACAACCAAATTCCCAATTTGGTCAATTAAAAAAGTACCATTTTTATCAGGGACAGGCTTGTGTCTGTTGGCAACCCAAACGACTGTCTGTACTGTTACATCAGCGTACCATATACCAAGATACCTTTTACTAGAACCTGTAGGACTAAAGAACCCCAACACAAAATTCCCTTCTTTAGAAGTGATGTTATCACCATCTTTTAGAATCTCTCCTATCGTAATTTTATCATCTGCTGAACAGAATAAGGATAAACAAGAAAGAAGGAAAAAGAAGACGAACCAAAGGGAAACTCCAAAGCTAGCAGCCATTCAAGCATTTGCAAATGTGATACCAAATTCAAGAATGGGGAATTTGAATGAAGAGGATGAAGAAATTGTGGTTAAACAAAAGAGAATAAAAGGGGGTATAGAAAACAAAAAGAAAGAAGAAGCTTCTGATGACCGGGGGATTGGGTGGCCAAGTAGGAATAATATTACAGCTGAGAAAGATTGACCTGAAAAAGTACTTTGTAGATGTAGTTGAAGAGTCTTTTGCTGACCAGCCACCCCACAAGTGCACTTGTGATTTTTTTAAGCAATGTTAGGTGGGAGAATAAAACACAAGGGAGAAGACCTTGATTTCAGTATATGCATCTATTAAAACGTGTGCAAAGACAAACATATTAGTATAATTATAGAGGAACAATGTAATAGGATTTTTATACTCTCAATTTATTGTAAAGGTTTAATTTTTAAATAATATAATAAATTCGTACTACTATCTTTTTTCTCCTCCTAAGCATGAGTTACATTTTAACTATACATAATACATTGGTTGCAACTGAGCTCTTAGGTCAAATGGACCTCTTCTGTCATGTCGTATTATGCTACTTTTATTCATTTTGAAACTGATAATTTGTTTATTTCCTCTGTCCTAATTTATGTTATGTGATTATGTCCCTTCTGTTTTAGGTCGAACGCATTTTATTTTTAAGAAGATTTTTTGGGGGAATGCGAGGAATTGTTTGCCACTTTTGGTTTCGGGAAAAACTAATTAATTCAAATAGAATAAGTGGGATTCATGTGGATTTTGCCATAAGTTGAGCTTTTCTAGGAAAGTAAATGAGTACTACTATTTTGAGGTTAAGTCAATTGTACTGAGGTCAGAAGTGTTATTTAAAGGAAAATAAATTTCTCTTTTCCATCCACACGTGTTTTAGTCTCTAACAAGTACTATAAGTTCAGATAATCAGATTAGGCGGATCTGCTCGTGAGATTATGAACTAGGTAATTATTATCTTTTTAAAATTGGTTGTTTTCAATCAAATTTATATCCAAACGTTAACTTACTTATTACCGACTAGTCATTTGTCAAATGGTGTCAAATGGCATTTGAGATAAGAATCGGTGAAATTTGCGTTTACTTGTTTTGTCTTTGTCATTATTCCCATTTATTCTTCAAATTTTCAGTGGGTTGCAACATTCTACTATGAAAATGACATACACCCTCCGTTATTTTATATGACTGTAATTTAACTTAGCACAAAATTAGGAAATAAGAGGATACTTTTTATTTATTATTTGGTGGTCTTGAACATGTCATGTTAGTCCTACAAGAACATATTATTAGTGAATAAAATATTTATTTATCCAAAAATCGGATAGCAATTAAATTTATACATAGTTTTAAGGATACGTGGTATAACTTGGTACAAATTGAAAAAAATAAGTAAATGAATACCGAAATTAGTTGTAAAATAAATGAATGCAAACCGAATGAATTAGTTAGCCTAAGCCTTCAAGTTTTATCACCCTAAAATTGAATGGAGAGTGATTGATAGAAGAACAATATGACTCAATATCAAAGCCCAAAAAAGGATAGTATTTGCCTGATGATCTATCAATCTTAATGAATCTGATGTATAAATGATAACCACCCTTAATATAATGAGAAAATCATATTTTGGATATAATTAAAAATACAGAGTGGAGATCCCATGATAGATTAATTAATTAATCTCTCCTTGATTTGTGCCGTGATTTTCGCCGAGATTCTCCCCCTAATTGCGGCTATAACGACTTTTTTTGTTTCTTGGCTCGATCTTGATCCTAGCCGATCTCGATCTTGTTCGGTCATTGGGTCTTCGAGCTCGATCTTGGCCGACCTCGATCTTGATCGGTCTCTGGGTCTCGAGCTCGACAACACATACCTCGCACCATGGCTCGAAATTACAATGATGAACCTCGGACCATCATGTTCCAATCTCGATTAATCATACGAAGGGCAAAACTCGGTTTTGACTGTATACAGATAGTCTCCTCGTTTCTCGGAAAGAAGATGACGAGAAACGATATGAATTTCTGGACTCCGACTTGGTGGATGATGATGTCAGCGACGAGCCCGATTATGACGTATGTAACAAACGTCCTGTCGGTCTAGTTACCAAGGCATTAAATGCCTGTCAGTCTTTGGTCGGCCACTATCGGTTCTGAACCGTCATCACCAGGCTATAAATATTCACACTTTCATCCTCATCCAAACTTTTCACTCAAAATCTTTTTCTCTACTCTTGCATCTATTTCCAACAATCCCTTTGCTTTATACATTTTATATCGCATACAACCCTAATTCTCGTTCCCTTTGTTCATCAATGGCGAAAACCTCCAAAACGGTGCCGCAAAAAGAGGTCGCTTCTTTATCACGACCCGCCGACGACGAGGATGCAGCGGAGCCTCGCCCTGAGGAATTCGTTCTGGTAGGGTGCTCAACTGTCATCGATTTTAAGGTTGAAAAACCTTCTTCGGTACCGGACCGATGTGAGCCGATCTCGAGGTACCAGTGTTCAATCACCGAGAAAATTCTTGATAAAGTAAAACAGGAATGCAACTGGGGCGACAAGCACATGGTAGTCCCATCGCTTGAAGAATCAATTACTACCCACGTGGAAGGGTTTTTCAATTACTACCCACGTGGAAGAATCAATTACAAGCACGTTATACTTATCCTTTCACGTTGGGTCCATTAGACCCTGTCATCGTCGCCTTTTGCAAGAGATATGACGTGACCCTTGGCCAAATCCACCATTCTTTTTGGAGAATAGTGATTCTTCTTCGATTCATCTCAAGCAAAATCGAGGGGTGTCTTTTCACCCTCGATCACCTTATGCGCCTTTATAGTCCCCGACTCTATCGAAGAGGATTAATCAAGCTTGCTCGTCGAGCTACAAAAGCGTCGTTCTCGAGTATAGACGAGACTCATGATCGAGGTTGGATGGGCCGATTTGTTCGAGTTAAAACCTCGGACCTGATCCCTGCCGATGACATGTCATTTCCTCAGAAATGGAATATGAACCTTGAGTACAAAATAAAAGGCAGCCACAAAACCTCGGACCTGATCCCTTCGAGCGTTTTAATTTGTGACTGCCTATCATTTTCTTGATCCACTTTTTCTTTCTTGTTACAGCTGTGGCTCGGATGCCAGAACCGATTTCGAGTCTTAAATAATGGGTTGAAGGTCTGGTGTTGCATAGACCGTACTCTGAGCGCGCTTGGGTTGAACTATCAAAGGGTTGATGGGAGGCCCGCAGTCATGGTAAGTCTCTTTCTTAGTTTGTTTGTCATTTGATCTTCTTCACTTGCTTACCCCCCTTTTTTCCTTTGTAGGACTTGGGAAAGACGTTGCCATGAGGCCCCCATCTGGTGATGAAGAGGTCCTTGCCCCGAAGGAGATTAAAGAGAAGAAGAGAAAATATGCACCGAGTTCCCCAGTCTCGGAAAAGAAAAAACCGGCGAAGAAATCTCGCAAGCCCAAGGGGGACACCGGTATCATGCCTCCGGACTCAATCTGCCGATTAAGGGATGAGCCCGACGAAGGAAAAGAGGAATTAGCCTGTGTACGAGCTAATATTGTGATACAACAATCCTCCGAATCGGCGTAGGTAGATAAGGGAACCCTCCCCATAATTCCTGAACAAGGAAAAATCGAGACTATCCCATCTCGAGCTGAGATGGTTGAAGGGGATACTGAGGGCAAGACTTCTCGGGCAACAGAAGATATCTCAAAGGACGATATCGGCATAATCGACATTAGCGGATCCCCTCATATTTCGGATGCTATGATTCGTGAGGCCAACATGTTGGAAGGTCGATCTTACGAAAGTATTCGGGAGTCGACTAATATCCACAGCTTTATGGATGGGCTCGAGTCAGCTGCCTCGAAGGAGATTATCGGGTTCGGTGGATTGCCGGTACCGAAGAAAGCATCATGGTCGGGATCTACCGGGTCTTCATCGGTTCCAAAACGGGTGGACCGATTCCTGACGCCGAGTGTTAATCCCGATCGTAAGCGGAAGATAGTGCTCTCCGTCCCGGAGGATGCCCGAATTTTCTCTCCCCCCGTGCGGATTGCTAGTTACCTTCAGTCCTTGGTGACCGAATATGATGAAACCGTGATGAGTGCGGTAGGACCCGCTTGCCTTTTCAACGAGGCCCAACATGCTCTAAATTGGGTAACTTCGATGGTATCTCTGCTGTTTCTTTTACACTTAGAGTTGTAGATAATTCCAACATCTTTTTTCATGTTTGTAGGCTTCAGTGTTGCATCACGAGGCTTTCCTCCGAATCCGGGAGGAGCATGAGGCCGAAGTTCGGAACTTCACTGAGAAGAGTGACTCTTACAAACTTCTTAGTGAGAAGCTTCGGGCAGATTTGGCAACGGCTCGAGATGAGCACGAGGAGATGGCTGCACAGGTATTTCGAATTCTTCACGATAGTGAAGATGAATTGGAGGTAACCACTAACGATCTGATTCTGTAGGTTCGACAGAGGCTCGAACAGATTGGATGGCTCAATTTGCATGTAGATGAGCTATTGGACGAGGTGGAAAAATTCAAAGAGAATATGGACATCCTTGCCTCGAAAAAAGAGGTCGTCCAAGCGCAATTGGAGTTGGCTGAGACCCAGCTTCGGGCTGCAAAAGGAAACGCCTTGGTGCAGATTGAGAAGATTAAGGAGCTTCAGCATCAATTGGATTTGGCCATTTCTGATAAGGCAAGCTTGGCCGATAAACTCGAAGTGGCCAGATCCGAGGTGACTATAGCCAGATCTGAAGTGGTCGTAGCCAGATTTGAGGTGGCCGAGGCTAATAAAAGAGCTGATGCTAAAGTGGCCCAGTTTAGGATCAATGTTGAGGTCAACGAGGCCAAGGCCAAGAGCATGGTCGAACATGCTAAATGGCAGGCTCAGAGGGAAGCTCTCGAGGAGGTTAGTGCTCAAGGCTTCGATGTTGCGACCGAAATTGAAAATGCCAAGGCAGAGGAAACCAGAGCCCGAAGGTTGGCCTTCCCTGAGGAAGACTCCGAGAGCTCAGGCGAGTATGTGGAGAAAATCCCGAGGACGCAGCCTCCGATGAAGACCAAGCCACTTAGGATATTAGGTTTCTTGTTTTTCTTTTGTATCTTTTCTGGGGCCGATTCGGCCTTTTGTAAAAAAAATTGAATATATATAAGGCTTTTCTCGCTCTTTTGATTCTTGTGTTTTTCCTTTGCTTTTCTGTATTTTATGGAGGTCGAAAAATGCCTTAGAATAAAATTGTGTTCGAGGTTTAGACAATTTGATTGGAACAGAAGTAGTATAGTCCTTAGGTTTTTCGATCGAGTGAGTGCTTGCTCGAACTCGAAGTAAGGTAGTCCTTAGGCTTTTGTAAAAAGGGTTGTTTATGACTTTCTTCCCTTTTCGGCTTA